TAAAAAACCATCTAGAAATATTTTGGTGGTATCTTCAAAGATTTCCAGCTGTGTAGAATGTTCATCAAATATGGCATCAAATACAAATTTTAGATCCTTATTTTGCCTTTTAGTGATATCGCGGTTTGGTAATTTTTTTCCATGAAAGAAACTGACTTCTTCCACTTTGGGATCAAACACCAGTATATGTTTATCAACAACCTGAACCACTTTTTGAAAGTTGCCATCTCTCTCTTTTGGATTTTCAGGACGAACACGGATTACTACTTTAATATGATTGCAGACATTTTCTTCATCTGTAGCAGACATTATAAAATGCAGCTATGTTGCCTCAGGTGTATACCAAGTAAATTCTTCTTCTGTTAATAAGAAAAAAAAAGTTTTATCAACAGAGTATCAAATATTAACAGAGTTTAAATTTGATTGGATTGTATGGATTTTTAGAAAATAGAAAATGCTTGGAACAAAACTTTCATGCTTGGAACAAAACTTTCAAAATGCATGTATTTTGTTACATACACAACCTTCAATGCAATTTTGACACTGGTGTTACTGTGGCAGAAATGTTTTGTATGGTTCTACTTAATATTATGCCTTTTAAATTGGCCAATCTCATATTAAGGAGCAACAAACATCTATGACAAATTGTGCACCAAACCCTTTTTCATTTTCTAAGTCAGATATTATAACAACTTATACTTATTTTTCCTTTTCCCCTACTCCATGTCTTCTGATCATTGTTGTTCTATGAATTGTTTAAAATACTAGGACTTGGTTCAATGGCTGGAGAGAATACCAATGGTAAGTGTTTCATACACTGGTAGTTCATAACAAAATAGTGATGGGCAAATGAAATGCACACAAACTAATATAGCTCTGTATCCGTTTCCTATGATAGTGCCAATAGTCAACCTGAACTAAAGGTTTGGATGCACCAATTTAATTTGTTTGGCAAAAATAAGGAGGTTGGAACCACAAATTCTTTCGGCAAGGAGAAAGTTCCAGTGGGGTTATCACAAAAAAAGGCCTCTTGTTCTGCATACAAGTTAAATAACTGATTATTATTGTTAAAGTGAGGAGATTCTATAGCTCCATTTTGTATGACAGGACATATGGATTCAAACTGACAGGAGGGAAGTTAAAAAGTAATGTTAGAAAGCATTACATCCCAGAAAGAATAGTGGAAGCTTGGAACAAACTTCCAGCAGAGGTAGGTCAAAGATCAATAACTGAATTTAAACATACTTGGGATAAACAGGTCTAACATCTGATAAAAGTTAAAAAATGAATGAATGAATGTATGCCAATAAACATTAAAAGAAATTAAAGAAACAAAAACAAATAAACTTAAAAGGCAGACTCGATGGACCACTGGGTTTTTGTCTGCTGTCAGTTTTCTGTTTCAATGTTTTCTATTCTTACAAGATACTCTTAAATATTCTGGGGCTGCTCTGGACTGGACTTTGAAGGTTAATGGACATACAGTATTTTAAATTGGAAGCCAACAGTAACCAATGCAATTATTTTTAAAAATTAGTAAGCAGCCTTTTCTAAATAAAATCCGGTCCTCTATATATCTCTCAAAAATAGGTATTCTTGACACCAATGTGACAATCTAAGGTGAGAACATAATTACATTTATCCAGTGTATCTCACTTAGTCTTTAAAACAAACAAAATAAATAGATGTTTAAACATTATTAACATTTTAATCAGACATTGGAATTGTACTTATTATGATTATGGGGACGGAGCCTGGACTTTAAAATAATTCAGCAAATATACTTAACACACCATTATTTCTGTAATATCTTTATATGCACACAGCTTTAATAGTTTAACAAAACACTGCTTAGAAAATAACTATTCCTTAATTTGTGTTTTATAATTGTTTTATTGTATTTTTTGTAAAGTACCATAAGTATTAAGGAAGTGGGCGGCATTCAACAAGTTATGGTGTAGTTCTTGTGGTCCTAAAAATCATCTTAAATGCTAGATATGGCTTTAAATTAATCTTAGCAAGAGATTACACAGGTCAGGCTATATATATTATAGTGTGGTTTCACTCACACTAGCAATCAAGGGAATAAAATTTTAATGGAACAATTTTTGAGGACACTTTTCAGATTCTAGTTTGCTAGTCAAATTTATTTACAGAACAAAGCAGCAATTTGCAGGAACTGCGGAAACAGCATAATATTGTAAAGCATCAAAGTGAAGGGAGTCTTCAAGTTGACTCCAGGCGGCAGCCTGCAAAGTCCCCGCAGTTTTATACGTTTTAAATCTCGAAAGTAAGGCAGGCTTTCTTGCCGCTCACTTGAAGATACCAAAACATTTTGCTATTTCTCCTCTAGCCTATGCGTGTACACTAAAGACAAACGGCTCACTACATTCGAGAGGAACAATTTCACGCCTGCGTATTTAAAAGGCGAACAGTCCTAACTCCCAGGTTAAGCATGTGTAGGCTTCAGAGTTAATAATCCTCGTAAGTAGCCAATTTCCCCCCATTTTACTAGGAATTCCTGCCACGCACTTGCCATCTTCCTCCGAAGGTTTAAAAAACATGGCCCATCCGGTGATTGCAGGGAGCTCAACATATCCCTCCCTACTTTAGCAACAGCTTATGTTTCAGCCACCTTAGCTGATCCGTTATATTTACTGAGAAAGTAGCATTTAGGGCTCATTTAGGTTCATCGGACTTCATTTTCTCGCAAATATATATTACTCACCCGAACCTCGAATGCCCTTTTTATCGACCGCCAGCTTGCTAAGGCGTCGCCGCCGCCCCGCTTCTTTTGTTCAGCAAGTCACCAAATTCAAATACAAGCGGCTTGCAGATCGGTCGCTTCTGATTGGTTTAGGACCGAGAAACGTCATAGTCGCGCTGCTGATAGGACGGGGTATGAATTTTGGTCTAAACAAGGACCCGTCTTTTCTCAGCACACAAAACAGGCTCGAGCCGTCTTTCGACGAAAGGGAAAAACTAGGCTTCTTGTCTCGATGGATGGGAAGCTGGAAGGAAGAAGAGGAAAGAGATGTGCTTTCAAAACCGGGGATGGGTCGCTTTAGGTTTTTTTTTTTCCCCCGTTTTTGTTCAAGGAATCGGGGAGGACAAAGATCACTTTTAGAAGGATTAATAAAGAAGAAGGTGCTGAAGAAGGCGGATCTTTTGGAGGCGGGGTGGGGGGCAGACCAAATGAAAAAGTTGAATGAAACAAGTTTGGGTTGCTGTCATTTCAATGTAATCAATCTGTGTTTTTCATTCGATGGCCAGATCACATAGAACATGGAGTTGAGTGTATAAGAAGCAAAGACCAATTTTGTTTAATGTGTTCAAGCGGTATAGTTGACCCCAGTATCCTAATTATAGTGACTCAACAGTACTGCCTGCCTTTCGTGGGAATTCTTCCTAATGCAGTTCTGGCCCAACCGTCTCACTGAATTCTTTTTATTCTGCATGTCTCTTTAAGCGTAGATGACTTTAAGCGGTTTCTCTGCGGACTTGAATTGGTTTGCCAGCTAGTGTGCTGAAAGGCGGGGCGTTTCCTCTACTACCACCACTTTCTAAATGGAAGCACGTATAGGCTTGCCGATGGATTACGTGCGTTTTCATTTGAAAGCCGATACCCTTGAAGTTATGAGTCTAAGGCTTCTGCAAGAGCACCGGAATTCAGAGTATGTGTTGTGTGACAGACACGTGCTCAATCTGAAGGGTACATTTATTACCAAAAGAAAGGAAGGAAAGCAACAGAGGAGCCCTGTGACTGCGCTGTGTGCATTTAACTCTTTACTCACTGCTTTTCAGCCCCTAACTAATGCCTTTCCCCGCATTTAGTTTACTATGGGCGGGGTATTCGCCTAGCACACAGACACACACACACATATGCATACATACATATTTAAATATATACCACACTTCCGATTGCTCGAATTACGATTGTCGCCCTGAAGCAGTTAATAGGAAGTGGGAGAGAATATGATTATGTGTAGTACAGTAGCGCGATAGGAGATAATAGCTATTTGTATGTAAATAACTGGGGGAGGGGTCGAGACATTTGTTGAGTGGGTTTGCAATGAGTTTTGTATACTAAAAATTAAACACAGTCCATCATTAAAGACAATTCTTTAGCTGGCAGTCTCCAGAAGTATTGGGGCATACGAGGCTTGGATAGCATTTGATTGTAAATTCGTGAAATTGAGGCTTGATGAGCGTTATCTATAGGTTGACATTTAATGAGTGCCCCATTAGAACTGTTCTTGTCCATGACGGTGTCGGCGAGGGTCCCTAAACAGGACATTGTTGCAGTTTTTGAATGGTCAGGCAATTTAAAGAGAGAGAGAAGGGGAGGTTTGGTGCCTTTTATTTTTATCCTTGGGGGAAAAAAAAACGTATTTACAAGCAGTCATGAATATCGAATAATTTTCTTCATCAGCCCCTTCGCCCAGCATACACATCATAGAATAAATTAGTATACTATTTCAGGATGTTAAAGACTAATAGAATGTACTATCTGCTGGTCATAATTCTTTCACATATTGATTTGGGACGGCCAATACGGAAACATCTAAGATAAAAAGGGACGCTTACGCAAAAAAATAAAAATTAAATAAAGGAGTTAATGCCATGAAGAAAGAGAGCAGAACATTCTAGCAGACGCTGAACATGTGCACACACCACTGTATACTTATTTTGGACGCCAGTCCTGCCGAATTGATGGGAGTTTTTTTTCTCAATAGAAAAAGCGCGTCGCTAATTGTAATTTACAACCGGTACAAAACTCAAGCAGGTGCGTTTATATTTTTTGCCTGGATCTAACACTTTTCAAACGTGTGGCGAGGGGGGCCAGAAACGAATAATGCCTCGCCCCATATATTATGGGTTCCTTCCACTGAATCAAGCAAGTGCACGACGTTTGATTTAGTTCGTTGCCCTTTGGGAAAGCGGAACTGAAAGCGGGCGAGGCTTTGTTGCAGGGGGGAAGCCTTTTGGCAGCCCACCTGCCTCCGCCAGTTGCGACGAAGAACCTAAAGAGGCGGAAGCCTCGTCTAACGCCTCGAAGACCGCCTTAGAATGATGTCTTCCTAAAACCTAGGACGGGTGAGACAGGCAATCGCTTGGGGAGAAAAGGTTCGTGGTGTTCTTCAGATGCATACATTTCCATTCCTACAATAAAGTGTCCTTCCCTTAGGAGTCCTGATTGCAAAGGAAATGGCGATGATGGTCAGATAACGGTATTCTCCCACCCCTTCCTTCCCTGGTCTCCATAGTGAATAACGTCAGCTATCTCTCTCTCTCTCTCTCTCTCTTTTTCTTTTGCATTTACGAGAAAGCGTTGTTTTTGTTGAGCTCTCTAAAAGCACCTGCCAAATTAAAAGCTCCTTGCAAAAATAATGGAGGTATAGATGAATAAATGATAAGTCCCCAAATGGTCTTAAGCCCAAACAAAGGATTTACCTTCTCCGCGCTCATAAAAGTGTCAAACATATTTCTTAATTATGGGCCAAACGAGGCAATTTGGCAGTCACTCTGGAACTTGAATGATGATGAGACTTGTGTGTTTTATGGGTTAAAAGCAGTTGACACAACAGTTGTAACAGATACTAAACTCGTCTTCAAATGACTTAATTCAGTCAAATAGCAGCTTTTTTCCCTCTCTTCTGCCTCTGTCAACAAGTGACTCTTTCCAAATATTTTTTCGGCATCCTTTCACTTGGAATGCATTTCATGACCACATAACAGGATGACATTTAAAATGAATTGGTGAAAAGCTAGAGGACTAGTTATTGGTCCCTTACAAGTCTGTTTCATTATTCCTGTTCTTTTCATGAATGTTTAGATGAGACAAATTGTGAGTATTTGCTCAATTGCAAATACTGTTTAAAATTTCCATGGAAGCTGGAATTTGCTTTATTATAAAGGGCCTTGACAATGTTTACTCTTGTAATTTTTGCATGCTCTTTCTTTTCCTTGAGAATAAATAAAATCAACTTCGTTGACAGGGATATTACAAACCATCTATTGTGCATTTAAGGCAAAGTGAGAGGAAGCTTGAAAATGATTGATTAAATTATATATAGTTTAGGAAAATAAGTATATTCTTAGCTCATCCATTGAAGCTTGTTAGAGGAAGATGCCAGGTAGATTTAAAAAATACGATATAAAGTATGGATTTTTTTATCAGAAAGTGATAGAAGTAACCATTAATTTTAATTATTTTCAAGGGAATTTACTTTTTCCTTCATTTTTTATTGGTGACTATTGCATTAATAAATATTTACCTCACTATTAATAATTCTTATGATTATAAGTTGCAAAGTAATTGGGTGGAGGCTGCCATTATGATCTTATCCTATTTGGCCAGGATTATAAAGCTGCTTAATATCATATATGGACTAGATAATTGTTGGTCCTCTTCATCTACTAATAAGTGGTCATGACTATACTGCTGCTTAATCAATAATGTAATATATGGACCTCCTAATATCCTTTCACTCATAGCTTGTAATAGCATTTTTTTAAAAAGGCAAGTTGTACTCAGCACTCATGCCCCCCCCCATTTTAAGCAAGAACTCAGGATTGGGGAGAGGAAGCATTTTAATAATGATTTTGACTGCTTTTATGAAACTTCTTAACCATTTTGAGTGTTTTATGGATAGGAATTGGATTATAAATGATAATAAATAAAATACATGTAAAAAGAGTGATAAATCTAAAAAAACCCACCAAGTCGAGAGAAGAATATCAGTGCATATATAAGAACACAAATATTGCTAATAGAATATCTTGTGGAATAAAGAGGTTTTCAAAAATGTATGAGATGTAGAACTCTCCAAGGAGAGAATGCTACAGCTGCAGAGTTTCTATAAATAAAGTGTCCATAATTAAATGATGTACTATATTTCAGTGTTCTTATCTATCTTTAAAATTGTGTCTGTAATTATTTGATTCTAATAAATTATTTCAATATGTTCTTTTTTAATGAATGTAAACTTAAATAAGGATTAGCAGTAGTAGTAAGTACCCACATGTAATGCTAGCACTAAAAGCTCTCAATGGTAACTTAATGATGGTTCTTTTTTATTGACTATTGTATAAACTAATTTTGATTTCTGATGTTTTTTTTTCAGATAGATAAATGTACTAATTTGTTATTAGTATTTGCATCCTGTCCTTCAAGCAACTTTGTCTCCAACATGCATTGGCTTCCTTGTTTACAAAAAATCTGCAATCAATTTACTTTGCATACTTTCATTCCAAATTGCTTAGGTATGTCAGTAAAATGCATACATTCTTCATTAACAAGTACATGTGAAACTGAAAAGAAATCATTGCATTTCAGTATTAGTGAAAACTTACAGGATGAAATACACAGCGAAGATAGTCAACAGTTACATAAATCAGTTATGGTGGAAGAAGTTATTGAATTTTTAGCACCTCAAAAAGAACAGGTAAGTTGGAGTTTATTTTCAAAGCAGAGAAACATTTTTGAAAATATAAATGACAAATTATAATAAAGACATTCTATTTGTAACCTGACATTTTAGATTTTTGTACTGGATTGTTTTTTATACTATTTGTGTAACTTTTTGCCATAAGTGAAATGCATAGTTGTATGTATGCCATTTTTTATTGAAACAATCTTGAGAGAAGGCAATCGTATTCTGAATTTTGAGCAGTATCTATTAGCTGATAAGAAATGTAAAGTTTACCTACAAAGTTAGGTATGGTTAGGATATGAAGACCTGTCAAAATGCCCAGCAAGATCATCTTTGTAGGGAACCTCAAAACAGTTGAATCAAATCTGTCAAAGTAACCTTTGTCCTGTGTCCAAGTTGGAAGGAAGTTTAAGAATCATAGGAAAATTTGCATCTAATCTTTAAGAAGTTATTTGGTTGTAACACACTGCATAGCCTTCTTCCCAAAGAGAAAATAAATTATAGTTCTAAAACTGGCCTAGCCCTTTGTTGTCTAATGATAATGAAAAAGTAAATGAACATATCAATGAGCATATCCTACCAGAAGAGAAATACTGATTATCTAGGATAGTTTCTGCTAAGATCTGCCTTTTCAGCAAAAGCAACATTTTTAACAAAGGTAAGTATTTAAATCTTACAGAATGTATCTCATAACATTTTGTTTGAAGGAATCATTTCCATGACCTTTTAGAGTGAAATTCAAATTAACCTTATTCAGAAAACTATTTTGATTCATATATTTTGTCTATTGTTTTTGATTCTACTACCACTGCTACCTAATGGGATTACAAATAGTTTTTCCAAGCTTTTTTACTATTTTTACCATTATTTTTCCTTATGATCATGTTTCTACCTTTAGTGAGTTGGCTTTTGTTTTATCTGATTCACTTACCCTTAGACTGATAATTGTTTGCATTTTTATGGTGGATTTGGAAAGTTGTATACTGTACTGTACTGTATATAAACTTTTGTATTTGCATTATTTTAATTAAGTAATCACTTAACTATTTCATTGAATTTACTGAACTGGTATTCCAGTCCATGACTTCAAGCTTCTTATCAGATTAAAAAGTTAGTGTCCACCCAAAGCAAATGCAAATGTATGTTCAGGTAATGTTTCTGTCTGAAAAGAAATGGGAAATAATCTTTTAAATTAGAATTCCAGGATAAACAACCATCGGTTTAAGTTAAAATTTCCTTTATGAAAAAAATTAATTATTTTTAATATGTGTTCAGTCTTTTGATTAGGGACATTGCTGCTTCAAAATGTTGAATAGCATTTTTGTACCTTAATTTATAGTTCTATGTATTTAAAGGTAAGTACAAAAAGTGTAAATTTGAGCATAAAACCTTAGATTTGTTTGAAAAATTAAAATGTCCATTGCATATGTTTGTCAAGAACATAGTATTAGAAATATGTCAAGAACATGGTTTGAACATGGTTTGAAGTAAACTACATCAGATGTTCCAGCCATAAATGAAAATGAAGAAGTATAAAGAAGTATGGTAATGTACCAGTATTATATAGCAAGGAAACAAAGGAAAATAGGAAACATAATTTGATTTGAAGTAGTGATGAAATGGTATCTTCAGCAATATTCATATAGCATTAGCATACACAGGATGAAATAGCAAGTAGTATTGTAGAAAGCCACATAGGCATGCATTTCAAAGCCACTGATGGCTGTAGTAATTTTGTAAATGCTATGGAATTTTTAATAAATCAACCTTTGGTGAAGCTTTGTGTGCATTGATGGAGATGATAGAGCCTTTCAGGAAAAGTTTATATAAATTCTTGATGATGTTCAGACATTTGAACCTGAAAGTTCAACACCAGGATAAAAATGAAGAAGAGAATGGCAGGAATTTTAGCTACCATATAATTCTTAAAATAATTTCAGAATAACTTTTGAATAATTGTTAATGGATTTGACAATAGATTTATTGTTTGTTTTTCAAAAAATAACCAGAAAGCTTATTGGATTGCTTGAATGATGAAAGAGCATCTGCCTATGAAATATTTTGAATCATATCCAATTCTTCTTGATTTTATGTGTAGGAAAACTGTATTAGCAAACATGAATTTCCAGTTAGCTCTTATGTATTTTTCCATTACTTTAGAATATTTTCCACTTTCCATTTCCTTTTGTGTAGTATTCTTTGAAGTGTGTTGTAAGAATGAGTCACATTGATTGTTTTTATTTTCAGTGAAGTTCCTGCTGCAATAAATTTGAAGAAATTTAATTTCTGAAAACAGCACAACTATGCCATATTATCTAAGGATTCTTTTTTTAAAAAGCATTTTAAGGTTTCTTAGTTCATTCAAGAGTTCTGTTCTAGTGTATCTATAAACTTTGTCAATATAAGGTGCTGTAGTTGTGTTAATGTTTTGTGTCTATACCGTACCTATAATTATATCTCTCCCTCATACGAAGTCATGGGGATGGAGGGAAATGTCTTCTACTTTCTTGATGGAAGAAGATTTCTTCTTTCTTGATGGGAGAAACAAGTAAATGCAGGAAATGATGATGTGTAGACATGCTGGTACTGAAAAAAGACTGGCAACGCTGATCTTAACACATAGAGCCTGTTAAGGGAGATACTTGTATTGAAATCATATAACCTTTATTTCAGTTTCAATATTGATGATAATCGAATATTTAGTTTATCTGGTACCAAACTAAAAATTGATTTTAATATTTTTGTGAACATTAGAAACTCCAGACTGACAAAATATCCAGTTTTTGGAAGATTAGAGGAAAAGTGGGAGGAAAGTAAAAATGTTGAATCTCTGTGTTGTTTCCTTCTGCAGCACTGAGTGAAAAGAATCAATGTATAAAATCTTTGGACAACTACATTCCTATTCTAAAATGTTGTGATTTGTAGTGATTTCTGTAGCTTAATTTCAGCAGACATTCTTCTTCATGGCATCTTTCTCACTTCCCAATTTCTTTTATGTCCCACAGCTTAGGTTGTACATTTTTACTTAAGGAAGGTGTGCAGCTTTTATCAAGAGGAGTATTGTAAAGCATCTAATCTAAGGACCAGGACTCTCTTTTTAATGATACTAAGTTAGTTTGCTGGTATTACATTGTATCACATAACAAATTATAGTATTTCAAGAGCTTGTTTATAATCCTATATTTTAATATGCAGTGCTTTAGGGTGACTCAGCTTGTAAATGACTTTGTGTACACTTTCTTTTTGTGGTAAAGCATTAGTCTTTGCAATTTTTTTTGGGCAAAAGTAGTCACAAGAAAATAATCTAACACATTTGAATGAAACACTGATCCCAGAAGTAGTGATAGATATAAATAGTTATATACTCTTCCTGGTATTGACCAACTTTATAAATATTTGAATATTGGGTTATACAGTGTGATTCAGATTTTCAATTTCCTGCTACACCAAGTAGAACAAAATCAGTTGAATAAAAGTAACTGAGATATATGCCACTTTAGTTTAGTAGTTTATGTGAAACAATAGCAGAATTAATTCAAGAGTAGGAAAATATAACCAATTGAACATATTTATTAATGGAACTTGTATGCCGCCCTATCTCTAATGGACTCAGGGTGGCTCACAACAATTAAAACAAAGCAAACAAACCATTAAAACAAAAATCCAAGTTAAAATTAACAAAAATTCAATAAAACCCAGTTAAAATTCTATTAAAACCCTCATCAGTCCAGGGCAGCCAGGTGAAATAGCCACATTTTCAGGCCACGGCGGAAAGAGCGAAGGGTGGGGGCCAGAGGGAGTTGATTCCAAAGGGTGGGTGCGCCCACAGAGAAGGCTCTCTCCCTGGGGTTAAACAGCCGACACTGGCCGACGGCACCCTGAGTAGGCCCTCCCTGTGGGAACGCACAGGGCGATGGGAAGCTGTTGCTGGCTGCAGATGGTTCGCCAAATATCCCGGGCCTACATATTGCACTATGCTGAAGGCTAATCCTGAATTGAAAGGACATATTAATTATACACACATTCTACTAGTGGGATTCAAATCCCATCACTACCGGTTCGCTCGTGGGTGTGCACATGCAATGCTTCTGCGCATGCACAGAGACGTCTGGATGGGTGGGCAGAACCTCCCGCTGCCACCGCTACTAGTTCGCCCAACCCGGGGTGAACCAGTAGCAACCCACCACTGATACATTCATACAACATACAAAGTTATTTGTGTGATCATAACATAAGTATGATGTAACATGTTTCTTAAACTTAGTAGCCTGCAGTGGGAAACCAAATAAAGAAAATTCAACTTTTCAAATTATGGAAAGGCCTTAATCCACAACAAACTGATAGGATTGGATCCTGAATTGTGTGGAGTACAACTTGAGAATTGAATGATTGCAAATTTAAGAAGGTGAACACATTTTTATAGATTACTCTTCTTTACACTTTTATCTGCATTGCTGAAAATCTTGGTAGTTTGACATTTTTATGGAACAATGAGTAAATGAACATTTGACAAATAATAAAAGAGGAATCAGTTAAAAAGCACTATTTGTCATCTCAAACTTCCCCTTATCACAGAAAAGAATGTTTAAATTCATGGAAGACCAACTCTGGAGACAACCTGATCAATTTTTGTATCCCAATTGTCTTCTGTTTCTTTGAAACTTGGTAATTTAATGCTGTAAAGTTGTCAATATTTTTTTCTTAATTGACTTGACTGAAAACATTATTAGGATGAAATCTAGCTTGAGTTCAGTCCATCTTAAATTCCAGTCCATGACGTTTTCTCAACAACAATGTGAAGGTTGTGTTCCCTTGCCAAATGGTGTAGTGGCTGAGATATTAAACTAAGACCAGGAGATCTCAATTCAGGTCTACTATCAACTAAACTCTTGAGTCAATCCCTGTCTTTTAGCTCAATCTACTGCTCAGACTTATAGTTATGGGATAAATTGAAGATGGTAGTAGTGCATATAGACCTGGGCTTCCAGAGAAAAATGGGATATAATGTGTCC